TATTTTTGTCTAGACAAATATCATGATCACATTACATTGTAATACAATTGTGATATTAAACAAACACTATTGATCCCTGAAATCCTTTGTAACACCAATGTTCACTTTGTCTGGTTTTGTTGCAGCATGCCCCATATGAATGTGCTCTTCAATAGGCTCTTCTATAAAATATTTTCCAATCCTTCTTGTTGGTAGGAGTTCATCACAGTCTTGGAGGGTGAGATTAGCCAATTTTTCATAGCTATCGTCCAGAATTTTGACTTTCCAAAGTCTAAGTTGATTATAATCAATTCTTGCAAAATGATTACTCAATTCTGCTTTTATTAACTTCTTGAGCTTGCTCACAGTTTTGTTTTTACTAATCTTAATAGCAAATGCATATCTCCTTTCACTAAACAAAAAAGAGTAATCGTTCCTTCTTCTGACCATGCTTGTTGCAGAAAAAAAGTAAAGAAAATGCCAAGCTTAGTAGTGTTTTAATAGTATAAACAATTAACTATATTTATCATGAAAATTAATCTTACCTGATTTTTAATAATATGCATGGGATGGATATAAAAGAATTAATTCAGTACAAAACAAATGAAAATGGGTATATGAATAAACAGGATCATTTAATTAGTATAAATTAGTTAAATTGTAAACAGTATATCAAAAATTCAACGTTTGAATTAAGAGATTTATACCTGACGTTTCTTCCGACTTTGTTTTTTTCTTTCTAGACTTGACAGACTCGATATTTTATTTTCCTATTAGTTGGAAATTACACATATATATGAAACAGTCAAGTTTGCATTTGAGATGAATATGATTTGCTTATCACTCTTATTACTTACTTTGTTAGTATTTCTTTGCTTTAACGTCTGGATTGTTCTGGGTTTGTAACAATATAAAATGTACAAATCAATGAAAATTTAATAATTTGCATTTATTTTAATAATATTAGCTAGAGTAACAACACCATTCTTTTAACAATAACTAGAGTGACAACAAGTGGCGGGCGATAACCGCCACCACCATCCTTAAACACATATCCAAGTCTCGTTGCCTCTACAGAATTATTTAATTGTTTTCTTTTATTGTTTTTCGATGACATCTTACAATAAAGTAAAAGAAAAAAAGTTGTTTTGATCGACGTGTAACACATCAATTATTTATCCTATTGGTTTTTTTTTTTGGGAGGACAGACGCGAATGATTTTTTTTTTCTTCCTTGGAAAAACAATTTATTTTTTGACAGAGTCCAAGGTGACAAAACGTGAGTGTTGTTGTTTGGTTTGGTTTGGTTTGGGTCTCCTAAAGAAGAAGTGTTAATAACTAACCAGAGGTACTATTTTTTATTTGCATTGATATTTTTTATTTTATATAAATATTTTAATTGGAAATCAAAACGCGGAGCAGATCTTGCTGGGTAATTACAAGATTTTCATTGAAAATATTTTGCTTTTCGTAATCAATATTAATAATATTATATTATTATAATCACAAGAAGATGTCAAGGCAGCATGAGTGTCTGTTGAAAAAGAGACATTTCAAATATGAAACATTTTGATATGTGACGTTTGATTATCGGAAATTGGCAAACGTTGAAGCACACACACTGCCTTGAACACATTACAGTCATTCTTACGTATTCCTCGTGTACACAAGGCTAATCTGACCATGGCTCTCTGATGATACACGATGCAACATAACTCCAGGGGGAGTGTATGGCCCTGGAGTTTACCGATACTGCACCAATTGTCAAGGACACTTTCACTAATCTCCCCAGACCAGAGATGGCTGCCGGCATGCTAGCCAAAAAGTCGCCTGCAACGATCCTGCCTCTAGGGTAAGGATGGCACTATGACCAAGTCGCAACTCTGCTGATGAATATTAAGAGAATCTGCAGCTCGTTAAAGCACAGAAGGTCACAATTCAGAACAGGGTTGGTGGCCTTGAAATTGCATTTGGGCTCTGATGTTAAGAGGGAAGTTGTAAAATAGTGTTTGGTTTGTATAATCATTTTCCTAAACGCTCTGTTTTTTCGATACTAACCAATTTAATGATTTTGGATAGGGGACTGGATTGGGTTTTTGCCCAATCAGTCCTCTGTCCTGTAGGTTAAAATTATCGCATGATTATACACATCTTTGTCAGTAATATGGCCAACAAGGAAAAAGTTATAAAATGGTTCGGATTTTGTTTGGTATGTTTTGTATAAATTAATCATTTTCATAAATTTTCTGCTTCTCTTTAATTTTTATTTGACCAACTGAATTTTAATGATGTTAGTAAATTAATCATTTTCATAAATTTTCTGCTTCTCTTTAATTTTTATTTGACCAACTGAATTTTAATGATGTTAGCCATTTAAAAATCCTTAGCCGGCTAAGCCATTTATTACCTAAATTGGTAATTTTATTTCTATAACCAGAAGGTAACGCGGAAATCTATTACCAAATTTAGAAATTGTGTATGCAGATTATTAGTCGGCTAACATCACTACTAAATTAATCATTTTCATAAATTTTCTGCTTCTCTTTAATTTTTATTTGACCAACTGAATTTTAATGATGTTAGCCATTTAAAAATCCTTAGCCGGCTAAGCCATTTATTACCTAAATTGGTAATTTTATTTCTATAACCAGAAGGTAACGCGGAAATCTATTACCAAATTTAGAAATTGTGTATGCAGATTATTAGTCGGCTAACATCACTACTGAATTTGTAAATGGGGGTAGGGTTGTTGGTGAGTAGGCATGCCACTGACAAGACAGGGGATGCCTTTGGGATATACCAGCCAAA